AACCTAAGCTCTCACACGCCTTTCCCTCATTGTGTCTCCCATGACCCCCTTTTTTGTGGAAAAATTATAGCAGCAAAGGTACGCTCTCACGTGCGCTTTCCCCATTGTGTCTGGCCAAGTGATGTCGGTGCAAGCAACGTATTCAGAGGTTGCTGTGGTTCCTGGAAGACACTGCCAACATCCGTGTCGTACAGGGCTACTGACCTTTGAGAACTGAGATGCGTTCATTGTTATCTGTTTAGTTTCCATTGGCTTTTGGGGAAACGAAAAAAAGGTTTCGTTGGCGTGGGGGTTTTCATCCTTCATCATGGAGGAATCGTCGTTCTGGTTCCGCGTGCAAATTGCTAATCCGTGCATAAAAGTGGAGCTGCCAGAGGGATTTGTGCCCTATGAAAGTATCTATCGGCTGGTCCTCCGAGACGAGCGCAAGCTGAGTGGCCTAAAATCAGAGTTTCTTTGTTACCGCCAGTAGGCTGTGACTAGCACCGTTGATCCAGTGTTATTTTGGAAACTTCATTTACCTGACTGGCCACTACTGTCCCAAGCCTCGCTGGACATTCTGGGATTTCTGTGTCCAGCGCAAATGTGGAACGTGCGTTTTCAAAATTGCGGGTTGCGAACCGCAAGGAACGTGCTGCCATGACGGATGCAAGCCTCTCGAAGTATGATTGCATCTACTATAAGAACCAAGCGTGAGAAATAGATGCTTCCTCGAAAATAAGCGTATAAAATATGTGAATAAAGTTGGAACTCTCTGTCCGTGATCAATTGCATTTTTTTCCACCGATAATCACAGATTTTAGCCTCGTCGTGAGACGTTCAACCGAAATACACCGGTGTTTCGGAAATAAATCAACGCCGAAAAACATACGCCGATTTTTCCCACAAATAAACACCGGGAAGTGCGCACCCTACATATAAGTACCGCCGATATCAAAATTTGGCAGAGGACGTCTAGAAAACGTCCTGATTACAGGCCCCCTCCTCTATATCAAAACTGGCGATTTTAATGTCGATCACAACCTATAGGGAGTGTTCGAATAAATCCTCATGGAAGATGGCTTGCTGATATAGGGAATGTTAATAAACTATTCCTCTTGAGTATCGTAACCTCCACGTACATACATGGTACAGGTAGCAGCAGTTGCCTTGACTTAACGTTTATGTCATCGAGTTTGGAATCGCATGTAACGTGGTTCACAGTTGTATGAATATGAGGAACTGGCCATATCCCCACTTATACAATATTCCACAAATTGTGCAAGAAAAACACGAGAAAAACCTATTCTAACAGATGAATCGGTGGGAATTTGACGAGGCGATAAATAAAAAAAAACAAATGACTAATCCTCCTGATTTGTAACATGACATTATCTGTTCTGCAAAATCATTCACGCACAGTTACATATTTTCAAACCAATCGAACAGTAATTGATACGGAGTATGAACGTCTCTGCACATAACGACGACAGGCGCAAAGACGTGCAAGATGATCTAAAAAAACAACAGATGTCCTTGTGGTGAGAAGGCTGAAAAAAAAAAAAAAGAAGTAATCATTTAGATAAACTTGGTCAGGGTCGAGAACCAGGATTCTGGGCATAAATCGTTTCCCGAAAACCACTTAGCACAATTTCGAAGATCTCGGGCGGACTTAATACAACTCCCCAACAATAACACCGATTCCGGGCACTTTCGTTGTCAATGAAACGCTCTGCAAAATCTATTGCGAATGAAGTCTTCATCTCTTTCACGTCAAACACGACCCAGCAAACGAATATTTATTTATTATTACACACTGGATACCATATTGGGAACAAGCAGGATGGTAAAAAATACACAGGTTCCGCAGAATATACAGGAGTAACGCACCCACACCTTATAAAATGAGCTTGGACGAGTTATTCACTCTAGTGGAACAAGAAAAACAACAACCTAATATTAGTAAATCCAAATGTTGCTCGGCTCCGGATAGCGTAACATATGCATTCTTCATACACATGAGTACAGATTTAAGGAAATGGTTGCTACATTTTTTTCCGTCTTTTCTTGGACTACACGATGCATGGAAACGGTCAAGAATCGTTCCTTGGCAAAAAAAAAAAAAAAGATAGCCTCCAATGAAATGCGTTCCCGAAAATAATGAATGGTTCCCGTATAGGCCGCAGCTTAATAAAATCCTTTATTCACCCTGTTACTTTTGTAGAAGAGGAACTAACGCCAGTAAAAATTCCGATCGCTGCTTTCCTAGACGTGAAGGGAACATTCAATCGTGCCACACGAGATGCTATCTTTCAAGCGTCTGGGGAAGTTGATGTAGGAGGTCATTTATACGCATGGATAAAAAGTTCCATTTCAAAGCGTGCCATCTTTATGACAACAAATGAAGATGAAACAGTCCATCACTACGACACCTAATGTGTTCCTTAGGGAGGCGTCTTAAGCCTAACACTATTGAATATAATTATGATTCGACTACCCGGTGTTACCCTCCAACGTTAATGCGTCATTGTATGCATATTTTAACTGCATATGGGAATCGGGCTTTACTCGGGTGCAAGCGAAGGCAAGAGTAGAAATCACTTTGAAGAAGCTTCATAAATACAATTGCCAGCGAGGTATTGAACTTTCTTCCACTTAAACCAGCTGCCGTCGCATTTGCTTGGTGTATTATGGATCGATATTGCTAACGATTCTCTATGTAGCTACACATGTGTTACTTGGTGTATACATTGGCGGGGGATTGACATGAAGACCGTATATTGCTTACATAAAAATAAACTAACAAATTCCTTTTACTCTTCTCGCCTTATTAGGGGCATTACATGGGGCGCGACAGTACCGGCTCTGCTGCGGCTATATTGGGCTTTAGTCATAGGTTTGCTCCGGTATAGTCTTCCCATACTTCATGCACTTGTCAAACAGGTCTCAAGGCAAGGAAAAGTATAAAAGCACGCTCTTTTCCTGGCTATCGTGGACTACCGGTTTGTACTTCGACTGTGGTCACACCGGTAGAGGCTCACGCCAGAACAGTAGAAGTCCCACTATTGCTGGAAACAGTAAGAATTGTAATTTAAGAAACATTACAAAACATTCCAATCTTTCTTTTGCTAATATTGACTTTAAATGGCAACAATCTAGCTACTAAAGGGCTATGTTCCAAATTACACCCTATTTGCTTTATGATCTTGCGCAATCCTATACTTAAATGTGCCACCATGCAGCCTTCCTGTGCCACACGTCATAGATGAAATAGATGTAATCAGGAAAAAAAAAAACGCAGAAATTTGTGATCGTGCAACTTATCTTATGTAACATATTGTGTAATAACGCTTCAACGAGTAATGTTTATGATGATGGGTCGACAAGTTCTGATAGTTCAACTTGTTGTTTAATTAAGTTTAGCCATATAATATCCTCTTTACAACGGGATCAGTTACCATTCATAAAGCCCAAGGAGATGCTGGTGCAAAATCATCACATTTTCTGACTTCATGTATCAAAGTACAAGCCTACCAAAATAAAATTCCTTTGTTTATCAATTAACACTTCGTCAATAAAACAAGATATGCATTGCATACTGCTGCACATCAGTAGCACCCCTCTATGCCTTAGATTGAAATATATCATTCCACCTTTATCGTGACATGCCACGTCGGGGGGACTGCCATTCATTGACTAACACTTGGTCGAGCATTTGCACAAAATTTAATTGACCAAATAGCCCAAACCACAACGCCAGTGTCCGAGTTGTGAACTAATTGAAGCTATTGAGCACAGCATTTGCGATTATGGTGTTTACGATGTAGAAAAAAGCTAACTAAAAAGTACATTGGCATACCTTGATACCCTGTCCTTATCTGTGGCAACGGTGCTTGGTGCCTCGAACGAGCCACATAAAAGAGCAAAAGCCTCAAAACCTCACCTTTTAAGGAAACAGGTCTGGCTTCCGTTTATAAACCACGAACCTTGCTGTTCGTAAACATTACCGTGTCTTTAGTGTTCACGACGCGTGCAACTTTTACGCATTTCATTTTCTCCTCCTTTTTTGATTTCCCCTTTAATCTCCCCATTCCTCTCCCCCTGCACAAGGTAGCCAAACGGGACAATTAGCCAAGTTAACTTCTCAGTCTTCCTCTTCTTTTCTTACTTCCTTTCTTGAATACAAGTGCTTACTGAGTCAAGTTAATATTTAACAGAAACGAAATATAATTTTAGAACGTTTTCGCCCCAAATGTTGTAAGCGTGAACGGCAAAAGACAAGTGGAAATCTGGACAGAAGCTCTACTCTCAACTGACGTTTTAATAAAAAGAATAAAAAAAAACACAAGGATAAAAATAACATCTCTAATGAATATCGTTGCAAATTTAGCTGGATTCATTTCTTTAAGTTTGTTCAATAAAGTGATTAATAAAACATTATAAAAATTTAATGCAAAAATGGACACAGAACACTAAAATTATGGACAGGAAAAATCAGTTCACCGAAAATAATTTAGGTACTGTAGTTTCCTCGATGACAAGGTCACTGACGGCACCCTGATGGCCTGGCCTGACAATAATTCACGTGTTTTCTGATAAAACCGCCTCACAACCCCTATGTTTTCACACAACAGGGCGCATCTACTGTCCGATAATGCACGCCGATATGCCCAGACGTCGAGTATTCGAGAAAGAGTGCACGTTTTTTTGTTTCTTTTTTAAGCCTAACCTGCAAAGGTTATGCTATGAGATCTCGCCTAACGCAAAAATACTCCACGCTGAAAAACGGTACTTCGCTATAATGATAAATCGTTAAAACGACAAAATACTAAAAAAAAAACTGATCGCTTTGCCAAGTAGATTTCTGAGACATTTTGGACGGTTTTTATGCATAACACTGATCCATTATTCACACAAATTGATTTTTGCATTCTTCTACTTTTTAATGAGCCTGCATTGTGCTGCTGTCAAAAACAAAGCTCGTGGTGATTTGCTAATTCGAAGTCTAATTTTATTTTCAGATATGTTTCAGAGACAAGTGTGGGAAATACAGCACTGATCTGCCTCCGCTACCCACCTTGCCTACACCCGAAACGACCGCACCAACAACAACGACCAGTATACAGACAATACTAGTTACGATGAGGATGATTACAGCTCAAATTAGAACTGGCTTTTTAGGAGAAGCTCTCAGTGTGTCACGTCCTCTGCCGTGTAAACAGCATGATGTGCTAAAAAAACTTGAAACGTGGCTATTTTGCGTATTCCTTGATAATAAAGCAAAACTATTTACTAAGAGCATGCTGACTTACTCTATAAAGTGGCAGAAACCCTTGAAGAGGCAAGAGCATCTGTGTTTACAGTTAGAGACATATATTTATATTATCAATAAAGTATTGCTTGGTAGGTCTCATCTCGAACAATTTGATTGCGTTGCCCCACGTGCTCACAAATATATGTAGCGTATTTCTAATTCTCATCTTACATTCCTTTAAATGTGGCGTCCCAAGCCATAGGAACTAAAAATAAAACGCAAGCAGACCCAGATGAGCGATACGTGTGCTCAACATTATACAGCGCCGTTTTAATTATGATACCTACCGTCATCCAACATATATACTATTAAGGGAAAGTCATATCTGAGAAGACTATACTCACCTTGATAAAACTCCGCTGTCTTGGAATTCTCTAATCTCGTCTTGTGGCGCCACTTGTAAAATATTAAGTAAGATCAAGTACTACGTATGCTTTGATATATTTATTGATTAAGGTTACCATGTAGCGCCTAATATGTAATATTGCGAGGAGGGGATGCTTATACATTTAAAAGAATACAAATATAGGATTATTTGACATGAGCATGCACAAGTTTCAGCTATAATTACATGTAAAAGGGGAAAAAACGTAAACATGAAAGAGCATGAATTATATAAAAACAGTTTTGTAGAGGTGATGGACAAAATCTCATTTGGTAGCTTGTTCCATACACTTATTATAGAAGGAAACAAATGTATGAACCAGGGTCGAAAATAAAAATCAAGACAACTTAATCAATATTTAATTATTGATATATTTAATTATTGAATCAATAAATTCAACCAGTTTAATATTTAAGTCAAATATTTCGCGTAAATATATTCTTAGTTATATTTTCATTTATCATTTATTTATAATTTGATGCTTTCTTTTTGTTTTCGTATCTTCATATTTAAATAAAGTAATCATCAAAGAAAACATATTTACATCAGCCTGAACACTGGCATCGAGCAGTGCTTGCCTGAGCAATCAGGGCGGTGAGCCTTATTTCTACCTTCCAGTTAGTCAGTTGCGTAAGGATAATTAGAACGCTAAAGAAAGAAACAACAAAATAAAAAGAGTATTGTCCTTTCCAAGAAAGTCAGAAACGGGAAAGAAAAAACAAATTGAGATTTATTACTAACTTAAAAATTAAGATGGTTTTCGTCTAATATATTAATAAAGTGTTGTTGATCACATTACTTTTTTCACCTTGGCGCGGGAGAATAAAATCACGACGATTTAAATCAATATTTAAAACTTAATTTAAATCTCGATTTATAATAGACCAGTTTTTTTATGATTACTTATATCACACCGTTCACAGAATACTGACTTATACTGGGCTGAGAGTTACAGTGATCATACACGTAAACTACAAGCGATATAGTATACTGCTAAGTAATAAGTACGGGTGGGCTTACATTCGAAATTTTGAATATTGATCCAATGTTATACATTTAATCTTCGTATTCGATTCGTAAACTAAGTCTTTGGTATTTTTCGAATATTCGTCGTAACACAAATATTCAAAATTAATCGACCATTCGAGAACGTATTCGCAAGCGTAGGTTTTCATTTTGGTTTCAGTTTTAGCAAGCAAGGCCCATTGACAGCGGTAACGAGAGTCTGTGAGTTTCTGTTCCCTTGAAACTCCTCACATTTTAAACTGTGCTCACTTCCGCGTTCGCCCACCCCTTTTACGTCGAATAGAGGTGATTGCGGGGAACCGTCTGCGAAGCGGAGGAACATACGGGAAACGTCACCAACGTGAAGAGAGAGTAGTGCTATTTGGAATCGCGAGGGTGACGGCATCGATGGCGCAATGTGCGGCATGCGAGTCAAAGCTTAAGACGCCCAAAGGTTGGGCAATGCCCCATGTCAACCATCTCAAAGTACACCCTGCGTTGTTGAAAGAGTATTCAGAGATCACCGCTAATAAATAAGTTGTGTTTCTTGATGGTGGCGTGTGATGAGTGATAGGAACCTTCATTTTGTTGCGCGGGGTTGTCTAGAGGTTATGGTGATCGACAGTTTCACAATGTTTGGTGTTACATTAAATTAGTTGGAAGTTGGCGCTCGTCGGGGTCGTTCGTGTGTCTATTTCAATTCGCGCACTTTAACCTTAGAACAGATTTGCCGAATTTTTAGGGGTTTATAATACCTTGGTTACAAACATATCCCAATTATTTTGTTCGCTACGTTTATCAAAATCCTTCAAAAAAATATCAAGAAACACGGATAATTCAGAATTAATGGCTTCAAAGTTCGCATTCCTGCAGTTTCGAATAGTTTTCACTTTTTTAATGGTTTTAGGTCGCGACAGGTTTATGTGTAGTGATAGCAGGGAATGATCGCTCAGGCCGGGTAAATAACTGATGTCAGATACAAGATCGGGCTGAGGTGTTAGTATGAGATCTAAGACGTTCGCGACAGATGAGGTCGTTCTGGTAGGTTGTTTCACAAGCTGTGTGAATGAAAAGACAGAGCACATTTCTAAAGATTCATTAGCTAAGGTGGAAAAGGGGGCCATACTGGGTGTCTCACCATCCCATGTTATATTTGGAATATTGAAATCACCAAACAAAAATAAAGGTAACATGGGATAGCGAGTTCTGACAAGGTTGGTTACATCGTGTAGATCGTTCACAAAACTAGACGAAATAGTGGGGGGGCGATAGCAAACACCAATGACAATTCTTTTGTGGCCCACTTCCATGATAGCCCACACAATCTCTAAGTCACTGGGGACATATATACACTGAGATGGAAATTCTTTAGATATCGCCAAAAGAACACCGCCTCCCTGACGGGTTATGCGTCACAGCGATAAACAGAAAAACGATGTGCGTCTTGGAAAATTTCATGATCACGGAACTGAGAGTGCAGCCAGGTTTCAGTTAGCACTATTACGTCACTACAGCTATCAACTGCAGAAGTTAAGGAATCACGCTTGTTAATAACGCTCCGAATGTTAGAAAAAGGTACCGAAACATTAGATAAAATTCGTCCACTGCCCCTCGCGTTTTCTTATCTTAGACCACGTGTCGGCAGACTGGGCTGTTGGTTATCAGGGGTATGATCTGACGCAAGTCGTATCACGGTTTCAGTTGCAGTGTCATAAGTGTACTGTCTCCTATTTATGACTAGTTTGTTATAGCGAAGCTGAAACGGTGGTGCTTCTGGCTGATTTTTAGCAAACTCAATTAGTTTTTTCCGAACGTAACGCGTAGCAGGAGAGAAATACTCGCTAACATTGATGTTCTTTTCTTTCAATTTGGAGCGTGCGGAAAGTATGCTGTCTTTTATTTTGTAGCTTGAAAATTTAACTATGAGGGGGCGACATTTATTTTCCGAGTAGAACCCTAAAGGATGAGCGCGCTCAATTGCACCGCCCGAAAGGGTGTCAACAGTTCCCGCAAGAAATTTCCGCAATTGTTCCCCCGATTGTTCCCATGATTCACGAGAATCAGGAATTCCCTGAAACATAAGGTTGTCGCGCCGTGACCTGTCCTCCAGTTCGTCTAGCCGCGACTGTAAAGAGTCATGCTGGGTGGTCAAGACTTTCACGGAACCCAACACACCGGCCAAATCTTGATCTAAACTGTCAAGTTTCTTTGTTTTTTTCTTCTAAAGTATCCAACCTTTGCTGGATGTGACCGATTTTAGTTTCTATGTTTTTCTGACCAGCCTTTATTGACTTTACGTCGGCGACCAATTCAGCCTGACTTTTTGCCGAATGAATAGAGCGGGCCTGAAGGTCTTTCAGAAGGTTAAAAATAACAGTCATCTGCTCGGAGGGCTCATCAGGTAGAGATTCAACCTCAAGGGCAGCCTCCGAACGAGTAAGAGGGCCCGGATTCGTCTCGACGTCGCCGGAGCGCAACAACAATAACACCATCGAAAAACAATCACAAGCAATATCACTCAGCTCTCCTGGGCTCGGGAGCAAAAGAAGGCAACGATTGTCGCATTTTTTAGCGTAGAGTGAAAATTGTTTACACACCTGCGAAATGCAGAAACGCGGCATGAGAGCCATGTCATCGTCACTGCTCCCGAGCCCACTGGAGTAGTGTTCGCGTGGCATGCTGTTTAAGTAGGGGACGGGAACTGATGTCTCCGTTGCTGACGCCGTTCTGCCGAAGGTTGGGAGTATCCGAGACGGCCGATCCAAGGTGATTCTGCTGAAGAGGCACACGTGGCTGCTGATCTCAGAAGATGACATCAGCGGAACCGAGATCCCGGTCGAAGCAGAAGCCAAGGGTAAAAACCAGAGCAAAAAAAAACGCCAGGATTTCCTGCGAAATGCAGAAACGCGGCATGAGAGCCATGTCGTCGTCACTGCTCCCGAGCCCACTCTTGACCCATGGCTGGCGATGGTCTTTTCGGCCAATGGCTAGCCGATGACTGATGGCCAGTGACCATTGGCCAATGGCCAGAGAAAGGCCAGTCATCGGAAAATGGCTGCCACTCTCTGGCCACCGGCCAAAAGACCATTGCAAACCATTGATCAACGATCGGTCAAATCTGCGCTGCTTGGGTGGCTTCAAATATTGCCGGACACTGCCTTCCTTTGATTTTTTTCCATGGTTCCTTATGACCGTAACGCATTTTGGAGTAGGTTTTTTGTTACAGTCCGGCGTTACAATTAACTCTTACAAATATTCATAAAAAAATTGCTGTGGCTTAGCTTGGCCATGCCAGGATATACGTGGCGTGAGCTTAGGTTATTCTTAGCTTTCCTGGTTCTCTCGGATTAGCTTGATTATCATGCATACTGCTGCTTCAATGACTCACACACGGTATACGCATTCTGTGACACATGTATATTTATTTTTTCCCTCAACGCCTCTTTGCTTTTTTATTGCCACAAAGGCGGCTCGGTGGTCAGTGTTGTAACATGCTGCCGTCTCTATGGCCCCAACGCAGTATTTGGAATCGATTGTCCCTCTCTGAAACACAAGATCAATGATGGTTCCCCATTGGGTCGCCTGTACAGTTTGAACACTGGCTAAGTCTAGGTTAAACATGTCCTTCAAATGAACCCCAAGAGAGTCTGGAGCACGATTCAGGTCACCAGCCACCACACACAGTTCGCTTGCCGCACGACTAGGTATAGACGTGGCCACTACCTCTATAGTGTCTTTAACGGAATTGTTCGGCGACACGTACACGGCTTCGATGACCACACCACTTTCGTTAAGCTGAACGGCACAGGCTTCATGCTTCACCCTTGGACACCGCTACGTTTGGCAGTTCCACTGGCAGCAATCCCATTCCTCACATAGATACAAACTCCCGAGCTTCTGGTAGCTTCAACACGACTGGCATAAGCAACCATGCTAAACTCGGGGATTGTGACAGATTGTGATCCCGTGGCAACACCAACCTCTGTAAAGAGGAGAGCATCAACACTGGTCAAGAGACGGTCACCACAAACGTACGCCATATGGCAAATCAACGATCGGACATTGAGCAGGGCCATTGTGTAGACCGTGGCGGGGTTTGTCATCAGCGTTCTACAGCGAGCATATGCTGTGTCCAGGCCGTGCTTGTTTATGCGCACAAACTCTGAGACCAAAGCCTCATCTGGATTGCTAAGATGGTGGTAGAATCTGTGGTCTTCCTCCACGTTGGTCAGATACAAACCCTGGAGGGTAGTGACACGACTAAGGGCAACCTAGACCAGCTTTTGAGGGTGAGTCTTAGCATAGTTTTATATCACAGTGTCGAAGGTACCACTTGCGACTTGTGTATCGTCATGGCGCTTTCTGGAACGAGAGGAAACTGGGTTCTGCGCACCGATACATGCCTCAAGCCTTTTCCCTCATGGCGAATGGCATGGTGATGGGCTCGATCGGAACCCATTGTGCATACCGCCTCACGCCCGAACGGTAGCTCACTTTGGCCTTGGTTAACGTTCCCACACCACTGGGACATTGCAGCCAAGCTATCTTAGGCGTACCGTCAACGTTAAGCTCAACCTCCATTAGCGTACCGACCATGCCGTTGACAAAGCCATCCGTGACATCAATGTTCTTCAGCAGCATATACGGCCGTTTCGTACAGAACGTCACCACAGATAGCAAGTTGCCACCCTCTACACGACTGAGGTCTTCGATTCGCGCGAGGGCCTCCAGTTCTTCTTATGTGCTCCGATGGCCAGCCACCCCGTCTGACTGGCCATCGGCGCTGTCATGCTTGTACTCACAAAACTCAGCAACCATTCTATTATAGGCGTCCTCGTCCTTGTTACTAAAGAAGAGACGGACTGCCATGGGGCACTGTACAGCAGCCTGTTCACGAGTGACGAAACGATTGGTAAACACACGAATCTCGTCGCCGTTCAACACCTTTCCGTCGCCTATCTTGGTGAGGAGACCCGAGAAACTAGCATCACTCTGTCTAACCACTTCACTTAAAGGGAAGTATGAGAGATGGCGCCACAGAAGCATGGACGTATTGTAGACGCTTCAGTGGCCCCGCGGTCTCTTGTATACCTCACTTGCTCGCACTGGAGGTAGCTGCCTAAGGCCCCCGCAGAAGAACCCTCCGAAGGGCTCCGTCATCTTCGAAGTCCTGATTTATCTCAAGCGCATGTCCACTATTCTGAGAAGCTCCGACGACAGCATGCTCACCTCATCCACAGTGATGCACTTCACGTCGTGATACAGCATCCGAAACTTATTCAAATCACTCCATGAAAGTCACCGGTCCTCTGTCCTGTTGGATATAACGGCCTTGAATGCCGAATGTATGGTTACTCCGTTCAACGCAACGGCTGCTTTACCGGCTGTTGCTAAGGCCACATACGCATTCATCGCACTGTTTTTCTGGCAATTCCCAAACGAAATGGTACGATTACGAGAGTAACGGTTGTAAACGTCCATGATGAGGCGCAACATAAAGCTCTTAACACAGCCAGCAGGCCCCGTAAAGAAGACCTGCAGCGGTTTAGCCGCCTGGTCAGTCACGCGATGTATCACTTCCCTTCCCGTATCAACGATGCCTGCCGTTCGTTAAGCAGTTTCATGTGCGCGTAGAAATCGCTTCACGGCATAACGTCGTCTCTACGGCAGACTCCCGGGCACGTGGCTGCAACCTCATTCTGCTGCGCCTTCGTCGTCGCTTCGTCAGGAACCAAGTCGAAATTATCGTTCATGTCCACCAAGGTCGGCACTGCACACGGCCTCTGTTCAGGTTGTTCCACTTCTTCTGTTTGACTTGCTTCCGAACGGCCAACCACCTCGCAAGTAGAAATCTACTCCGAAACGGTTACACCACCAGAGTACATCTGCTTGATTTTTATATTGGCTTCTTTGGTATCGTCAAAAAATTTTCTCAAAGGCATTGCTATCCAGAATGTCGAATTCCTTGCGAAACGGCACGTACAGCATGACATGTTCCCTCTTATAGTTTACCACATCGTCAATGCTGTAGTTTCGGCACCTGAGCACGGCTGCCTTCTGACGCTTCTTCAATCTACTCGGATTGTACTCGACCATAAATTCGGCGAACGTCACCACCTCCATTTCGGCTGGACGGTCTTCGTACCGCTCAATCGGTGTCTTGTGCCAAATGTCACAACTCGCGGGCAATACTCCGTGTTCCTCCAACACTGCCTTCGTCTTGCGGCTCCGATGGCGTTGTTCTGGCCATTAGGTGTTAACGTAAATGACATCTCGGCTAGTGATACACATGTCAAACCGCAGGAGAAACCAGGCAGCCTCTTGGGCCGATATCTCAATTCCATTCAGCATCTTCACCCCTAGCTGTCGCATAGCGTTTTTAAACGACAGCTGGGCCGATGGGTCCCCTTCGATTAAAGCTTTAATGGCTCTGCCCAAGTTGGAGACGCCACGGTTGGCCATGTTCACGTATTCCACCACATAAGACGCAGAGGCATAAACGTCAGGAATTACTTGGAGGTCTGTGTTAAACTTCAGCACTGAGGCTATCCCAGGGTTAAAGGGGTTGACATTCGTCTGATCCATATTTATTTTATTTTATTTATTTATTTATTTATTTATTTATTTATTTATTCTCTGCAGCGCCGGAGCATTACAGCAGAGGAGTGCGTTACATGATTCACATATATCATTATAAATTGGAAAGTCACATAACAGCACACATCAGCAATTTCCAACAACATCAATAAACATGATTCACACCAGCACACAATAGCAATATTACGAAAAAACCAATGATGTACTTAACACAGAAACTTACATTGCATTAATAAGGCTAATAAAAGAGTCACTGTTAGCTGATACAATATCAGACGGCAGTTCATTCCATTCCGATATAGTTCTCGGAAAAAAAAAAAAAAACATCATATAGTTAGTTCGACATTTTATTTCGCGTATTTTTTTACGTGGTCCCTCCTACTCGATATGTTAATATCCCTATTAAGCAGCAGCGTAGGCCTGGCCAGTCCACTGCGAATCACCTCCTCATACTCGTCAAATCCACGTATGCCGTGATGTTGAAGCATTTCAGCGAAGGACTGAGATAGGCAGTGGTGTCGAGAGCACTATGGAACGCATCATGAGTCTTCTGCAGGAAGCGATATCATTTCTAACCGGCCTCGTCGTCGTCGGCAAGGGCCTGTAGCGAATAAGCACTTTAGTCCTCGGCATCGGCCAGAGCGGAGCGTGAAACCTGCACTTCTTACGACCACCTTTATAACACGTGTGTGTGTGCTGGTGTTACTGGCACCTCGGCCGCTCCAAAGCATCGTGATCCACGGACAGGAGGCGCGCTCTGCCATCCTCACCGTGTTTGGCATGAAGTCGTTTTCCACCTCCTCATCCGGAGCTTGATTCAGACATAAGAGCAGATGAGCATGGGGGCTACCCCTACGCTGAAACTCTATGCGCTTGAAACTTTCCACCACGTGGTATGATCCAAGTATATCTGGGGGAAAGACAGCTCCTCAGCCTGTGTATCATAAAAGATGCTGACAGGTCTCTTGCCCTTTCCCGGTGCGATGGTTAAGACCGCATCTTCATCGTACACTAAACAATGCTGGTCCAATGTCAAAGCTGTGGAAACATTCATCGGATCATCTAAATCGGCGAGAGCCGGACAAGTCTCCACCTTAACGTCTTCGTCTGGCGCGACGGCTTCCCTATACCGCCTCTCTAAACGTCCGTGGTCAATGTTTATGCCGTAGTATTTATACAGTGGCGAGTCTCTCGGTACCTCAACCCATGGTCCAAGCACATCGCGAGAAACCATGTTCGACAGATAGGTAGCCTTGGCAAACATTCTCCTCTTTATGTTGACCACTATGCACTTATCATCTTCCAAACTGCGAGGCAACTGCTTTAGCACCTCCTCCGTGTCTACCGGCACGTTCACCACGGGTCCCTTAATGCCAAACTAACCATTTCTCCTGTTCATTAAACGACGGATCCGAACGAACGGAATCCGTGGCGAAAGTAAACGTTCATCCACACCGTTTAGAACCGGTAGACCTGGTGGCGTGGGCGGGAAACGATACCCATTGGTAACGCTAACGAGAGGAATCTTCAAGTTCTTGCACGTTATACAAACCCGTGCCACGGTTTCACCCCACTCAGGCGGCGCCGCTAAACTCAGCGTTTCACGCATAGCACTACTTACCAGCATCAAGTCTTTCATGTGCCACAGTATTTCACACACGTCGCACACATATCCAAGCGGGCTGTTTACGAAGTCCGTCTCGAAGGTCCGAGTCGTACTGGCGGTTTCGATACGTTTCACCGTATAGTCAGGCAATCGTCGAGCCTTGGCGTCATCGACAGCGTCTTGTTGTTGCTGCTGCTGAGATGGTCGGGCACGTCGCTCACTCTCCTGGGGACGCCGCTTTGCCAGACGTTTCTCCCTTTGCTCCGGTATCTCCGCAGCACGTTTAGCCTTCTTCCGTTCGTTCTTCCTACGCTTAACTGCTAATTGCCAAGCAGCTACGTCGGGACCCGATGAGTAAAGCTTCTCCTCTCTTCTGCGCCGCTGAGCAGTGATTTCGCTCTCCTTCTCCATGGCTATACCACACTGGCAAACGCCCCGCTATATGTATACCCCCACTGATACCTCTGCGCATGCGCACGAAATGAGAGGCGCTATAAAGCGGCTCCGGTGCAGCGTCAGACTTGGCTACTGCGCAACGGAGGCGCAGAGCTTGGCACGCGGCGACGCCAGTGCGTCAGCCGCGGCTATGACGTCACTCCTCTGGAATGCGCAGACCGGCAAGGCGCGCGCGGTGGCGGCGGAGCGCGCGGCGACGGTGGCTTCGGGGCGCATGCTGTGCGCCGTGTGACGTCACTGCTCCTTTTGCATGCGCAGCACGGCTCTCCAGGAGCCACGCGAAACTGCTCAACCTCGGCCAGTGTAGCTCACGCTAAAAAAACCGGCTGATAAAATATATTGTGCGTTAAAATGTGCTTGCGATGTGTCATCCCTATTGAAAATTCCATCAAGATACGTAATTTGGGACACTGACTGCCAGTCAACAGCCCAGGTGGAACGTGCCATGATGGTCCATCAGATGACGTCTGACTGCCACTGCCAAGGGAATTTCATTAACAAGGGCAGCATTTATATAAAAGCTCCCATTCCGAGGTGGCCATCTCGGATGGCTATGAAACGGTTCACAAACCAAGGCGCCATCTTGCAGGGCTATGAAATGGCTCACAAGTCCCTAAAATAAATGTAATTCATGCCATCAAAAATCAGGAAAAGTGTGCACCAGTCCTCATTTTTTTCACTTTTGAAATTTGCGTATTTCTGGCAAAAAGGACATTCGTTTACAAGCGGGCCCACATGCACCCTAAGCATGTTTTAGAGAAACGCCCTCGATGTCTGAACATTTTGGGACGACCGTAAACACTTTAATTCACAAAACGTATGTGACTCCGTTGAAGCTAGAGAGCAAGCATGCATGCTACGACAGACAGCCCTGGCTTCAATGGACGAACGCGAGCAGCAGACATATCTGAACTACGCACGCGAATGCTTTCTGTCTGTGCTCTTCATGAAACAATAATAATGAGCTGCGCCACTGCGGTAAGGTCAATAGCCCACACCAGATAGAAAGGTACAAACTTTCTAGCCTAACTCTCTCGGACCGACTGAAGAGCATTTCAGTATTGCAGCGCGAGGTTCCGACAATGAGTGCATCGCTCTAAAGAATGGTTCGGCTCCATATGCCGTTCAGCCTTGAGCATGTTATGCAAAGCACTCGTACATCAATCGCCGTACTTAAGTTCTACTCACCTGCCATGTAGAGTAATTCCGCGTCGTAGAACCCTCCTTTTGTTCGCGCGTCTCTGGCCCAGCACACCTGGTACACCTTATCGTCTTCAACTACACCGCTAAAGTTTCTTGCATAGTCGGAACTCACGACAGACTGGGTCTTGTCGAGGAGAAGTTTTACTAAAACAAAAGACATTGCAGAGCCCGGGCAGGATCGACAGGTTGGAGCAAGCGGGCAAACAAAACGAGTCGAGAGCGATCGTTCATGGAAGCTCGGCGAAGCCTCTATGAGCGAAGCGAAAGTAGAAAGTGGCGTGTTTGGCGTTTCGGCGGGCTTCTGATCAGGGTTGTCGGGTGCCCTGCTTGCGATATCTCTAACATCAGCGGATTTATGGGTTCACGTCCCGAAATCGTTTTCTCGTGCATAGATTTTTTTTCGTATTCATAGATTTGACGAAATAGTGGTATCCGAACAAACTTTACGTCCTTTGACCCTACGTCTGTCTGCACGTCAAAGCTTTTTGACGTACAGTAAGTACCGTCGGAGACAATCGATGTACAATCAGAATCGCCGCCAAGAAACCTTGACGGCATTTCGCGGCGACCGACTGCCACCACCCACCAGACAAGCGACAAGTGGAGTCTGAGTGGAGTTTGACTGTCGGCCAGAGTAACATTTTAGCCTATCAGACATGCTTGACGTACAGTCAGGCAAAGCCAGCGGCCACTAGAAAACATTAACTGCCAAACAGGGTTACATTGATGGATTTTTCGTTCGGGGCACTTCTGTCATTAGGACGACTAGTGGCTGGAGTCATATGATCAGTAACCATTTCATGTTTTATATGTATGATATGCATATTGTCACGGGTGGTGACCAAAAACCAATAAATAAACAGGAAGAAATAAACGTTTAATGTGGCGAACTTGTGCCAAAAATAAAAGGGTACAAAAGATAACAGAGCGTCGCGGGCGTCGAAGTCGGCGTAGCAGCAGAGACGAACGCTAGGGCGAAAACTGAATGCAGATCGCCACGCGGAGCCCCTTATGTACACGTGTGGGCTTCTGGAATAATCGGCGTAGAAGGTTCGGCGTCTAGAACATTCTTACCTCGAACAAGCAACATGGTTCTCAAATTTACCAGAACATTGCTTTACAGAGTCAACAAAAATGTGCCTCCGCGGCCAGGAATCGAACCCTGGCTTTCAGCGTGGAAAGCAAGCGCGATAACCGTTAGGCCACGCGCGCGCTACCTACTTGGCCATCTGCGCGCGCGACATTACTCCCCGCTTTAAAAAAGTGCATCGTCCCGATGCAACCCAAAAACAAAACAAAACAAATAAAAAGAACGGTAAACTAAAGAGTCATTTGGAACACACAAGGTCCACAGTCCTATCGAGCGTAGTACGGCTTCAGTCGCACGACGTGGACGACTTCCGGTCGTGGGGGGCGGCGTGACGAAGTCCGTGTTCCGTCGGGCATCACCTCGTAGTTCAGACCCCCGAGTCGACGAAGCACTTTGTTGGGTCCAAAGTAACGTTTCAGGAGTTTCTGGCTGAGACCGCGGCGGCGAATCGGTGTCCACACCAACACCCTGTCTCCGGGCTGGAAGTGGACGTCCCGACGACGAAGGTTGTAGCGGCCAGTGTCGACGCGTTGTTGAGCCTTAATACGGAGTCTGGCGAGCTGACGGACTTCTGCCCTTTGGGCAACCACCTGGGCGTCATCGCTTGCGTCGACAGCCGGTTCGTGGGGTAACATAGCGTCCAGCATTGTCGTTACCTTGCGCCCATGCACCAGTTGAAAGGGTGTCACTCCGGTGGTCTCTTGTACGGCCGTGTTGTAGGAAAATGTCACGTACGGCAACACCTCGTCCCATGTCTTGTGCTCCACGTCGACGTACATGGAGATCACGTCGGCGATGGTCTTGTAGAGTCTCTCCGTCAGACCATTGGTCTGCGGGTGGTACGCCGTTGTGCGGCGATGGCTGGTGTGTCTGAGACGAAGGATTTCTTGCGTCAGCTGGGCCAGGAACGATGAACTTCACAGCCGCGCGCGCAGCTGGCCAAGTAGGCAGCGCGCGCGTGGCCTAACGGTTATCGCGCTTGCTTTCCACACTGTAAAAAAATTTCACCCCATTTTACGGGCAAAAGTTGCCGGTTCAATATGCCGGTATGGTTTGCCGTAATCTAGAAACTGGACCGTCCGTAAAAACAAGGCATATAATTTCGTAGAATGACGGATTGTCTGTAGCCCACATTACGGACAGCTATCCGTAGGAAATGTGAAAGCTGTCCGCACTAAATACCGAAGGACTATACCTTTCCGCCTTATAAGGCCAAAGCCTCGAGCCATCCGTACCACCTGCACCTCCGATACATCAGGCGACTCACCTGGCAGAGCTCTAGATCTGCCAGGGGTGTCACCTGACGTATCGGAGGTGCAGGACTGGTGCGCATGACTCCTAGCTTTGGCCTTATATAATTCGGAAAGGTAAAGTCCTTCGTTATTTAGTGCGGACAGCTTTCACATTTCATATGGATAGCTGTCCATAATGTGGGCTACAGACATTTCGCCATTCTACAAAATTATATGCCTTGTTTTTACGGAGAGTCCAGTTCAAAAAGACGTAAAGGTCAAGTGCGTCATTATTTAGTGCAAAAAGCTTCCATATTCAAGCAAGCCCAAGCCACATGAAAGTTTTGGGGTAGATTGGTATGGAGAGTTCATAGCTCCGTCATTTAATATATGACCTTGAATAATTTTTCATCCTCAGCCAAAAAGTTCATGTTTTGCAAAAGAGAAAGAGCACACAACCTGTACTTCTCAATGCCAGGGTTTTGTTTGTGTGAGCTCAGCTGTTCCTATAGATGACAGCTCAACAAACGAACCAATTAAGAAGTTTCGCCACAATAACTTTATTGGAAGAAGGCATGCCTTGCTTTAACTTTGAAGAAAATTTACATTATAGTTGTCCTTGTGCTGGCCATTTAGATGCCCCTCCATGCTTGTGCTTGAAGTTGTCATTCAATTGAAGACCTCCTCGGTATCTTCATGGTGCATGTAAGGGCAGCTTGAAATAAAGAGCAAAAGAGGATTTGCATTCAATACACAATCGCAACAAATTGTATATGACATGCATGGTTAAAGTAAGTGACCAACGTGCTTACCAACTAGCCTAGCTCCTACTAGACATGACATATAAAATAAACCCTCCATAAATTGAACCAAAGTAAAAATTTGCACTGATTTGAATACCGAACATATCAAGTGCTTGAGAATTTAAGCTAGCCAATTAAAATTGCACAACTATTCAGTGATATTAAGCACAATGGATTGAGCCAGATCTCCCTTAGTATATACAGTAGGCTCACGATAATTCAAACTCTGATATTTAATACTTCTGGTTAAGTCAAACAAATTTCAAAACTTTGGTTGACCCGCTACGTTTTCACTGTATTCATAAGCCGCTTAACTCGAACGATGTTTTCAAGTAATTCATACTTTTTGTTTTCGCAGCACCGTTGAGCGCACTTCTTTCGGAGCACCGGTGCACTGCGGAGAAGCAACACCCGTGGAGCTTGCTTCCGCTGGTGTTGCTTTTCCGCAGTGCACCGGTGCTTGGTAAGAAGTTTGTTTAACGGGGTTAAACTAGAGCAGAACCGTGTGTAAACTGTTTTACTAAAAGAGTGCGAGAGATGAAAGGGAAAAAGGCTACCGGCACTTTCCCCCTTGCTGGAGCGTTAAAGACAGTGAAAGCCCCAGATGAGAGGCTTTGCCGGTGTTCG